AAATCTGGTGGCTTAGGTGACATTGCCACTGAAATGATTCAGGATGCTCACAGGACCTTGACAAGCTGGGGCATCCCCTTAATGATGTAAGAAAGGCCAGCTTTAGTGTTTGGTCCATAATATATACACTTTTATGTCTCCTCCTATTTGATGAGAAAGCCCACTATTTCTACAGAATTTTCTTTAAAGTTTATTTATTTATTTGTGTGTGTGTGTGTGTGTGTGTGTGTGTGTGTGTGTAAGAGAGAGAGAGAGTGTGAGTGCACACAAAAGTGGGGGAAGGGGCAGAGAGAGAGAGAGAGAGAGAGGAAGAGAGAGAGAATCCCAAGCAGGCTCTGGTATGGCACAGAGCCCCATGAGGGGCTCGGACTCACAAACTGTGAGATCGTGACCTAAGCCGAAACCAAGAGTTGGACGTTTACCCAATTAACTGCCCCCACACCCCAGGCGACCCTCTGCAGAAAATTTATTTCTGATCTATCCCTGGTAACTTTTCCCGGTGGGCGCACCCATCCCTCAACTGTGTAAGAATTGACTACTGAAACTCACAGCTGCACCTTACTTGAGAGAGTTTCTCTCAGCCCAAAGAGGCAGTGTTACCCACAGTCACGGAGGAGATTGAGGTTGGGGGGAAGAAGCCTGCGGTAGCCAGCTACTGCTGATGGAGAGATACAAGCCCAGCTCCCTTGTCTCAGGGTGGCTGACTCAACGGAGCCATTTCTGCTCTGGCATTTTCTTTTGGAACCAGGCTGAACCCGGACTGCAGTGAGACCCATGTCTTTATGCAACTCCTTCCCCTGCACCGTCCCGCTTCCTCATTCTTACAGATTCTTTTTCCTGCAGAGCCCCCTCAACAAATCCCTCACACAAGAATTCCAGTCTGAAGCTCTGCTTCTGGACAACCCAGCCTAAGATACCTTCCGAGTATGTCTGTTTCTACAGCTATATTAGGAATAGGAGAGAATTTTCTGTTGTTTCTCTTGTAGACAAATGCATAAAAACCTTTAATACTTTGTGGCTTTGGTTTTCTAGTCCTGTATCCTGTGTATTTATTTAGATCTCGGAGGTTAGTAACCATTGTAGCTTAGTGCAACTCTTTTAGATCTACACATAGTAAAGACCAGAAACCAAAAAACAAAACAAGATAACAACAAAAACAAACCTCTGGTCCCCTGAAGCAATGTGGGTGGCAACAGCATTTCAGTGCTTTTCTCTTTCTTTCTTTCTTTCTTTCTTTCTTTCTTTCTTTCTTTCTTTCTTTTTTCCTTTCTTTCTTTCTTTTCTTTCTTTCTTCTCAGTGGTTTTCTTAACACAGCTGCTACCATATAGGGTGAAGCTCTGACAAGCATATCATGTTAGCTAAAGAACAACAACCTAAATTTAGGGGTGCCTGGGTGACTCGGTTGATTGAGCATCCCACTTTGGCTCAGGTCATGAAAGTCTCAGGTCATGACCTCGTGGTCAGCGAGTTCAAGCCCCACGTTGGGCTCTATGCTGACAGCTCAGAGCCTGGAGCCTGCTTAGGTCTCTGCTCCTCCCCCACTCACGCTCTGTCTCTCTTTCTCTCTCTTTCTCCCAAAAATCAATAAATGTTAAGAAAAATTAAAAAAAAAGAACAAAACCTAAAATTTCTTCCTAACTTAAAGAGTTTTACTCTCAATATTACTCCTAGAAGTATGACGGAGACTCAAGCTGCCATATCTGATGGTGAGTGTAAGATCATGAGTTTGAAAGGGAAGAGATAGTTTACATGCCTGAATAAGATTCTTCATTAACTTCATGAAAGGTTTTGAAAAATACTACAATATCTCAAAGATCTGTTTCTAAGAACTGAAATGAGAAGGTGGTCGTAGAAGGTATTTCTGTGTTCTTCGTTAATAAGCACCCGGCCACTAATGGTCTGTATCAGCTATTGAGTATTATTCTCAGTTGGGCATGTCCCAAACCACAAACTGACTTTAAACTTCTGTTCCAGGCCATGGCATTTGCAACATATCAGATGCTAAGAAGTTAGTATGCAAGCAGCATTAGTTTTTTTATGATTATATTCCTGTTAGACCTCTCAATGGCATTCCGTGCTTTTTTTTTTTTTTAATTTTTTTTTCAACGTTTATTTATTTTTGGGACAGAGAGAGACAGAGCATGAACGGGGGAGGGGCAGAGAGAGAGGGAGACACAGAATCGGAAACCGGCTCCAGGCTCTGAGCCATCCGCCCAGAGCCCGACGCGGGGCTCGAACTCACGGACCGCGAGATCGTGACCTGGCTGAAGTCGGACGCTTAACCGACTGCGCCACCCAGGCGCCCCCTGGCATTCCGTGCTTCTAACAGAAATGTAATCTGGCTGTCCTAGACACTAAATAAGGTTTGTCCATCACTCACTCCCACAAAGAGGCTCCTTATTATTGGCAGGTTGGAGAGCTATAGTGTGGCCTGTGCTTCATCTGATTTATTTCGCATCATAAATGGCTGATGTTGCAGAAAAATGGAAAAATGTATGTGTGAGAGGAAACAGGGGAAGGGAGGCAGGGAAGGTTGGAGGAGCCATCTGAGAGCAATGCAAGTCTGACCTTAATCAAGAGGGGAGGGAAGAATGTCAGGAGGAAGCGTCTCAGAGTACTATGCAGGGTAGGGAAGTTTTAGCAAGGCTGTTGGGGAGTCTTCAAGCCACAGCCCCACTACCTGAGGTCTTCTGTATCTTTTAGGAACAGGACTGCTATGCTCAGCCATCGGCTAGGAGCAGTCTGTGGGAAGCCTGGTGTCAGCACAAGTGTGGTGATGGGCTTCAGAGTGTAGAAGGCAGGATCTATGGTGAATGAAGCTCCCCATAGTTGCAGGTCTTTGAAGCGCATCTTTCTGGTTGTCAAATGTTCCCTACCATTTTAAGACGATGGGATGAGAAAAGAAAGATAGAAATGGGCTGTAGTTAGAGAGATATTTAGATTCAAGGAAAGGTTTCTGTTGTTTTTTTTGAATGGGAAAGACTTCAGTATGCTTGTAAGCCTAGAGGAGGGAATCTGCAAATTGGGAGAAGTTAAAGAAGAGGAAGGGAAGAAGGGAAAGGGCAAAAGATGGGTGGGGAGTTTGTGTGTGTATATGTGTGTGTGTTTTTTTAGGGGGGGCAGGGGAGAATGAGAATGAATTGTGAAGGAAGAAAACTCCAGAGAAAGAGGAAGAAATGGGACACAAGTTGTAGCTTTGAGGAGTGGCATCTTATTCCCTGGGAGAGTGTCTGAATATGATTAAGGTTGGACATTGTTGGAAGTTGAAGGGAATTGTGTTTGATTATTTCAATTTCATTCCAAATAGGAAGCAAAGTATCAGGGGCAATGGTGGAAGGTTTAGTCTTGAACAGGAGGAACAACATCCTCTGAGGTTAAAGCAAAAAGGTAAGATTGGGCTTAGAGAAAGACTTGCAGATGTGAGATGAAAATATGGGAGAGAAAGGCTGATGACCTCAATTTCTTGATGAAGTAGGGGGCAAAGTTATCCGTGGAAGGTTTTATTTATTTGTAGCTCTTCTCATGTGATAAAATTCTATACACAAAACTATAACAGAAATAATATTTGGTATATTAAAATTAATATGTCAAATATCTTTTATATTAAGATTATTACCTATTACATTAATCTTTTGTAGCAATGTGTGTGTCTGTTTCTTGGTGTATAACCCAAAACTCAAATATTCTCTTGATTTAATCTGGAATTTTAAAAACTGACATTGTATTGAATTTATGTTATTCTCAATCAGAAAAAAATTACTGGAAATACACTGTCAGGGTATTATGTATATTTACTACCAAATTTAACAAAACAAAACCACTTTTGAGCTATGTAATTTAGTATTAAAATAATTTTATCATATGAGCATATACTGGCTTACTCCACCAAAAAGTAGACATCAAAGTATTTCATAATTGGGAGGGGACTTTGACATCATTGGTTTTTAATGTAGGGAGTCTCAGACCTCCAGAAATCTATAAATTGAGTAGTAAAGGTTTATGATCTATTTTCAAATCTCAACACACCAAATGGAAATCCCACTTCATCTATATGAAGGCTGAGGTACAATTATTTCTTTTAAAGTTTATGTATTTATTATTTTGAGATAAAGACAGAGTGTGAGTGGGGGAGGGGCAGAGACAGAGGGAGAAACAGAATCCCAAGTAGGCTTTGCGCTGTCAGCTCAAGCCTGACGCAGGGCTCATCCCATGCATGACCGGAGCCAAAATCAAGAGTCAGATGCTTAACCAACTGAACTACCACCCAGGTGCCCCTGAGGCTACAGTTATTTGGAATGATGTCAATTCAGTAGGGCCACTCTTCAGAAGCTCCAATGGGCCTTTGCAATATTACGATATGGAAAATGCATTAATCATTATTTAATCAATGAGTTTTAAAAATAAACAAAAGCTTCTGAAATATGAGGTTGGGGCTGGGGAATGGATTATAAAAGTTTGAGGTAACTGGTAGTGAAAAAGTTTGGAAAAACTGATTTAATCTAATTCTGTAATTTCCAGATGAGCAAACGGGGCAGGGGGAGATAAATAAATTACCCAATCTCATATCACCATTCATTACTAGTAAAGCCAGCATTATGATTTGCATATTTTGGAAGTTGTGAAAAAATTACTTAACATGGGATTTTCCTGTGTGTTAGGGTTTTGCATTTTGTATCATGGTGTTTAGTGTTCTTAGCATTTGGAACCCAAATGCACCATGTTTTGTTTTGGAGATGCTTTGGGAATGAATATGTATGAGTAGGGAACACCCTACTCCAAACAGTAGGCCAACTTTTCTGTAAAGTGGTTAAAAAAAAACAGTTCCACAGAGGTAATTGAAAAACAAAAACCTTCAAACGAGGCTTTGTAGTAAAGAGGTACCATAAAAGTCTAATTAATTTCAAAGTCCGTTCTTCCATTCTTCATAATTTTAGGGTAGCCCTCATTTATATCTACTCTAGTTAAAACAGTACTTTAAACAGAGCACATAATTAAACTGTTAGTGGATGAATCTGCAAAAAGAAAACTTATTTTTGACTCTTCTACAGTTTTAATCTTAAATGTGCATACTAAATGCATACATTCTTATCAAATAATTAACATCTATTCACAATTAACAATCAGGGGCAATCTTTACACAAAAATTCTGCTACAGCTATAATTTTTGAAAACATTTATCCCCCCAGCAAGTTCTACCTTTTTAAAGATAGATACTTTGAATGAAGAATATTAAGATACAATCATAATTAGCGGTTCAAACAATGGTTTTCCTTCTTGTGGAATGTCTTAAAATTTCCTTCCTTATATTTCTTTATTCTTTGTCCTCATGTTTCTTTAGACAACACAGTCATTTCTTCTTCTTCTTCTTCTTTTTTTTTTTTTTTTTTTTTAGGAAGGGGAGGTCTACTGATGGTCTCAGAGAAGCGCCTTCATAATTGTTGCTGAGGCAGAAATGGAATATTTAATAATTCTACATCTCATTGACGCAGTCTTCCAAGATGTTAAGATCATTTTCTAAGTCCAAAGTTTCAAAATTTCGTAAAGATAATCAGAATTTTAAAACAAATGGTAATAAGTCGTTTCTGAGTTCATTTTCTGTGATATCCAATAACAGGTCAGCTAAAGCTCAGATTTCATACTGGCGTCAAATGAACACGGCAGAATGAACATAGCTGAGACCTAGTCATTGTCATAGATGCAACCTGAAAAAAAAAAAACAACGAATTTCAATGTAGTTATATAGAACACATATCTTCTAAGTGTTCCAAGGTTAGAAATGTGGGTGATTCACACTCCTCTGATTTAGGATTTAAAAAATGTAGAACTGGCTCACTTTATGAAAAAGTAGTTAAATGGAAGACCCTATATGTTGATTGCTCAGTATGCAATCCTAACAGAGTTTCTGGATAGATTTACTCTTTATCAAAATTAGACTCAGGATTATTTTATCTGGCATTCAATTAAATGTACTCTTTGGTAGTCATTCTAATTGAGATTAAAGATGTTAAAATCCAGCAAGAATCACGTTTAAAAGGAAACTAAAAGACCACATGATTAACTCCATGTATCATTTCAGTTGAGATTAATTTTTTAGATCTTAATTTATAAATATGTGATGCTAAGAGAATATTAATGAGCATTATAGGTTATAAAATAAGTACCTATTAATTGGTCAAGTATGCATATTTTTGTGTATGAAAGTAATTCATAGTAAGATTAATGGTATAATGAATACTCACCAATTATTTTCATACTTCTGTTTTCAAAGAAAATAAATAAGATTCTTGCTTGATTTTCAGTCATGTGCAAAGATAATTTTTTAAAATTATACCATGGCATTTACCTTTCCTAACGTTTTCAAGTGATTCAAATTCCAATCAGATTAGAAAGCTCTAATTTATCCAGCAAGCTATTTTTAGTATTTGTAAGAATGAATTCACTGTTACTGTTCTCTGCGGTGGGTGCCATGTGAAACTTACCATCAGCAATATCATCATAGATCTCTCCATCACTGTAAATGCAGAAAATAATTTTTATCTTAAAGAAGGTATCGTCTTAACATTAAGGCAATATTTAGATTAAAAAGTTAATCATATGATTTTATATGACACAATAAAGCATTTAAAGCTGAGAAGTTACATGTTATGCTTTTATAAGTGGGAAAAAACTTCATATTCATCTACATCGTCTTTCATTGGCTTAGCCTAATCTTCTGTTCTATTCTAAAAATAACCAAAACCCACAACTTATTCCATATCATAGACACACAAAATAATGGAAACATGCCTCAAGAACATATACCATGCTTTATCATCTTTGGATCCAACCATGTGCCTAGCACACAGCTATATCTGGTAAGAAAAGCTTATTTAGTTTGTTGAACTGAACAAGCTGAAAAATCATGGCATGATACTCCACTGGGGGCCCTAATGGATTTCTTTTAAAAATGTATTTATTTAAGTAATCCCTACACCCCACATGGGGCTTGAACTCACAACCTCGAGATCAAGTCATGTGCTCCTCTGACTGAGCCAACCAGGTGCCCCGTGGATTCTTTATATTTGTTAATATCAGATTTATACTTTTACTTGAACTTCAAATGTTGAATGAAATAGAATACATTTGGCATAGGAAGTAGGTGCACCATTTTTGCATGTTTCTAATTATAATTTGTAAATATTAATTATAAGATATGTAAATATTAGTGACAAAATGAGTAGCCAAGATGTGATTATTATGATGATTCTTATGTCATATAATTCTAAAAATATTTATAGTTATAGGTTACATGCATAATAATAGTTCTAGCGACTTTTACATATTTTGGTTTTACTTGGTCCTGAATCTTTGTGAAATATTCTATTTTACACACCTACTGAATCCCTCCTATGTACCAGGAGATATAAATATGAGTGAGATAGGGGTGCCTGGGTGGCTCAGTTGGTTAAGTGTCCGACTCTTGATTTCAGTTCAGGCCATGATCTCACAGTTCGTGAGTTCAAGCCCCACATTGGGCTCGCTGCTGTCAGCACACAGCCTGCTTCAGATCCTCTGTCCCCCTCTCTGCCCCTCCCCTCCTTGCTTGCTCCCTCTCTCTCAAAAATAAAAATAAGCTTAAAAAATAAAAATAAAAATAAAATAAATATGAGACACAAGCTTTGATTTCAAGAAGCTTACATTCTAATGGAGGAAATGATATATAAGTAATTAAAATAGAAAGTATTATAAATGCTAATATAGCCTTGAAGTGTAGGATACAGTTTCAAAGTTCAGAAACACAAGGTGACTGTCAGACCAGACCCGCTTTGGGTTCCTGGACTGCCTCTGTGCTTTTATCATGGAAGCAGCAGCAGGCCCTCCAAGTTGGGGCTACTATGGCAGATGCTATGAGTTGCCTATGCCTTCTGTTTGGATCCTCTGAGACTGAGGGAGAGTTTGGCTCTTGGAAATCTGATATAAATGCAAAGAGGACAGATTTTCCTATCATTCATTCAATAAACATTAAGTATCAATTCACTTCAATAGATGGTGAACCAATAATTACTTAGAGTATACTTTCTAAATTCTCTCTTAATCATCCTGTAATAATCACTGATGAAGATGTGGTCCTATGGTTTGCCACATATTCTTTCTTGAAATTTGTGTCTTTCATAAAATAGAAAAGTCCCTTGCCTACCATCGTGATTAAGGTTCTGAGAAAAATAAATATATTATGATTATCTTTCTTTTGACTCTTTACTAGTTTTCTGACAAAGCATTTGGCATTGATTTGCCTCTTTCTGATTAGTGTCGGTTGTTTATGGATATACTTTGTGAACCTTCCTTGACTTTATTATAATGCAGAATTCTGTAAATCTTTATGTTGGCATATGACCTGATAATGGAGGTCATTTCTTGCACTGATATGCTTGGAACAGTATCTTATAATGTTTGAGGGGGGACTCTAACAGCACACTGGTAACAGGCTGTGACAACATCTTATTCATAAGAATAGAAGAAACATTGATGACTATCTTTTTTTGGGCATGCTTCCAAAAAGACAACTTAATACTCTACTATGCCTAGTGTGAGTAAATAAAAGCCCTCAATTGGGGGCCAAATTACTAACAGGTGACATTAGCACCTATTGTGTAGATACTAACTGGTCCCTGATTAATTCAATTCAACCAACTGCGTTAATCAATAAGTGAAAGGCAAAATACTTATGAAAGTGTTAGTGGTTTTGACCTGTCTCCAATGTTTGCCATGTCTGTCTCCAATGAATGCGAACTGTACACTCATGAATGAGAAGGGTTCTTGTCTATTTAGAAGAGTAACACTTTATGAAAACCTTAACTTTATTAGGTATTACGATATTGACATTAGTATAGCATATTGTTTTAAAATTTATTTATGATAGTTTAGTAGGTTGTATTATTTAAATGATATTAGGAATCTTTCTTAAAGAAGAGCATAGCATTCTTTTTATAAGTATAGTAGTAGAGGGAAATGAGCTTACTTATCCACCAAGTAACTCCGAAGAACATAACCATCTATGAAAAAAAAGAAAAGAAAATTTTATTAATAGTACAGCATTGAAAAATCTTTACTGTTTCTTTTAAGAAAGTGAAAAAGAATGGAATAACTAATATGATGTAATGTGATCTAATATACTGAATAATTAGATCTATCTCCAAATATGACCCATTTTTCTTACTTGTGTCCACTTTTCTCTCCTTTCTTTCTTCTCCTTTTCTAACTTTTCTCTCTCTCTCCTACACCTCTCTTTTCCTCCATTTACACTCTTTCCCCTTAAAGAGAAACAAACTATCTTAAAGTTACTGCAAGTTGGCACACAAGCCTCTTCCACATTTTACCCTATTTCTTCGAGGTGTTATCCATGTGCCCCAGTCTTGTGAAGAATATGCAGTTTCTCCAAATACAAAAGTAGTTCATAAATAGGTATTCCAAATACCACCGATCAGAACCTTAACGTATAAAATGTGATTAGGTTGAGCAGAGTCAAAACCGTGTTCAGCTCCCTTTTCAGCTCAGCAATCTGGTGATTACTTGGGGGAGGATGGAATGGTTTGTATGCCCAGTGTGGAAGATCTTCCACCGCTGCTTTTGCCATTTGACCATGCATTTTCATCTTTCGTGAATCAAATCATTATTTTTTAAATTAAACTAATTTTTTATAGAGAGTCAGTGAGCAAGCCAGAGTGGTAGAAAGAGAGAGAATCTTAAAAAGTCTCTACACCCTTTGCAGAGCCTGACACAGGGCTTGATCCCATGATCTGAGATCAGGACCTGAGCTGAAATCAAGAGTCAGAAACTCAACTGACTGAGCCATTCAGGCACACCTCCCTTTCTTAAATTTAATTTTGTTTTTGAAACAAATCATTATTAGAAGAACACGTACCAGGCAGTCTAGTGATTCCCTGTTAAACAGAAAATAGACCCATTTTATGCAAGAAAGCAAAGATTTTTTTTGAGTACCTATCTGCGCCTCTATTGTGCAAAATAATCCTAAGAAAAAATACAAACGATTTTTCCTGAAAAAAAAAATGTCTGCTGACATTTAATTAGTATTACTAACATTTGGAATTCGTAGTTTTGGATTGGCACCTAAACACTACTGTATGCTTGAGATTAGTACCATTTACTGCCTTGTCAATATAGCCTCTAAATTCTTTCACTGAATCAATCTATTGGGCTTGGTCCACTTTAGATATAAGTTTTATTAGAGTAAATGTGTAAAAAATTATAAACCAGGAAACTCATAGACAAAGATTAATACAAATGATAATAAACTTACTTAGACACACTGATGTCATATTGTCATTGACTTAACATGCAAAAACATTTTTTAAAAAAGCTGGGATCATACAAGTGAAACTCTAGATTAAAACTGAAGAAAATGAATTTTTCCTTGAAATACTCCAGGGTAAAAAGAACTCCATCGAAATATTTTATCAAGAAATTCACCACTTTTTTAAGAAATATTTTTTTAATGCTTATTTATTTTTATGAGAGAGAGAGAGAGAAAGAGGGAGGTGCACATGAGTAGGGGAGGGGCAGAGAGAGAGGAGGGTAGAGAATCCAAAGCAAGCTCTGAGCTGTCAGCACAGAGCCCGACATGGGGCTTGAACCCACGAACCACGAGATCATTACCTGAGCTGAAGTTGGATGCTCAATCCACTGAGCCACCCGGACGCCCCAAGATATTCACCACTTTTTAATGAAAACTTTATTAAAATCCTATTTGAAGGGGCGCCCGGGTGGCTCAGTAGGTTAAGATTCTGACTTCAGCTCAGGTCATGATCTCACGGTTTGTGAGTTCGAGCCCCGCGTCAGGCTCTGTGCTGACAGCTCAGAGCCTGAAGCCTGCTTCAGATTCAGTGTCTCCCTCTCTCTCTGACCCTCCCCCATTCATGCTCTCTCTCTGTCTCAAAAATAAATAAACATTAAAAAAAAATTAAAATAAAATCCTATTTGGAAAAGGAAAAATCAAAGTTCTCTTTGAATTCCTGTCATATGGAAATAATGTAGCATATGTCAAAATGATAAAAGAGCAATAATGTAATATTTTCCTCAGAGTATGAAAAGCCAGACCTTGTTATACCTTCCTTTTTTATTTCAGTTAAAGCAAAAGTGGCAAAAATTATTAATGTAAGAACATCTAAAATTAATATCCTTGGTTGTCTTTTATATCACAGCTCTTTTATCGATTTCATGTTAACAGACTTCTAAAAAAATTAAGGTATATATCATAATTTAACACCATTTTTAAAGGGGAATAAGCTTGTCTCTAACAAATTCAATCTACATGTGTCTCTCAAAAGAGAAAATCTGTGCAGATAACAAGTTTTTAGAAGAAATTGTGGATTTTGTGTCAAGGTCCCAATAGCTGAAATCTGTCTTTACCTGTACTGATGTTTGGGGCTAAAATAAAATGTGAATAGTGCTCTATAGACAGTAATGGTCGCAAACTCCTCACTAGTTAAAATTGGTGGTTCTGCTTATGTTTGAATTTTTTTCCTTAGAATAGAGCGGGAAATAGGGGCGCCTGGGTGGCTCGGTTGATTAAACATCCAACTCTTGGTTTTGGCTCCAGTGATGATCTCATAGCTTCATGACTCTGAGCCACCCCCCATCGGGCTCTGTGCTGACAGCACAAAGCCTGCTTGGGGTTCTCCCTCTCCCTCCCTCTCTGCCCCTCCCCTGCTCACACTCTCTGTCTCTCCCCAAAATAAGTAAATAAACACTAAAATTTTTTTAAAAATTGGGAAATAAAAGAATACAATAATAAGTGTTCTCATGATATATTCATGTTTAAATTAATAATTTAAAAATAATGACATGTATGAGCTGAAGTTTTTACAGTGGAGGTAATCTCATTGTGAGCTGTTCAGGCTTTGCAAAGTCTCTGAACTAAAATTAGAAGATACAAAATTAGGAAAATGTTTAAGAGATTATAAACTGCTGCCAGAGGTTGGACTCACTCCAGCATTGAATATATTTCTGGTTTTTTTTTTTTTTAGTCTTTATAATATTAAAGGAAATAAAGAACAAAACAAAGAGAATAGAATCACCATTTTTGGATCTTAAAGTTTTCTATTTTCCTGTGCTTTTAGATAATCTACTTTCAAAAACTCATTTATGCTAAAATTTATAAGTAAGCAATAAACAGTCCTTCACATGACCAAAGTCAGTAACTCATGATATACGGCTTAATAGCCTGTCTTCACAAAATTAATTATAAAATACATATTCTTCTAGATTCTAAAGCCCCTATTACATTTCCTCCTATATCTTGTCTGTGTGAGAGCTCTAAGGAATGTTTTTCTCTTTTGTTGAATGCTCTGCTGTTGCTGTTGCTTGTGTGTGTGAGATAAATAAATATGACTGATTGTGAACATTATCTCAGAAACATGTATCAAGGAGATGCGGTGTGGGATGTACCGTATTCCTCTATTTTAGCTTTCTGAAGTGATGTGATAATTTGGGGCTCATTAGCTGTAAAATTACTATTGTATAGCATCTTTACAGGGTTAATGACTTTTAATAGAGCATAGGTTTTGATGTCTAGTACCTTTAAAAATCTCTAAAACTTCATTCTCTTAAAAGCATGATTCATGACAGTGTAAAAACAAGTGACTTACCATGAATTTTTATATTTTATATAATCTCCCCATTATAGTCCCTAGAAATAATTTTTTTTGCAGTAGAAAAATTGATCTCCTTGCTTAAATGTTCCATGTACATCCATTATAAGGAAAATTAATGAAAAATATGAAGGAAATGAACAAAAAAGTCATCACGGCTCCATACCACGTAGAATGGTCGCCATGTTTACTGTGGGTGCTGGCGTACCACGGATTCTCACACAAAATATGAATTTATTATTTGGAAACTTCACATTCATAAAGCAGAACAGTGGCTTGAAACAAATGTTCTGAATTATGCGGTGGGTTAGAGCTAACTGAGAAAGTAATATCCATGCCTTACATGTGCCAGTTCTCAGGATTGACTCACCTTCCAGAAGGTTGTTGTGAATAAAATTATGAAGGAAATACAAAATCATCTTTGGAAAAGTAGAAAATATCTTCATTCTAATGTTTCCAAATTTTTTACTTAGTAATAAGCAACAAAAAAAAAGTAATGTTTTTTTTATTATTTCATTTGTTCTAACAAGTCCAGATATAAAGTTAAATTTACTCAACTTGGCTTCACACAGTTTAAAAACAATAAAATCATGTTGCATAGATTTACCTCAGCAAATGGAATAATATCTGACTTCAAGGAAACATGGTCATAATATAACAGACAGAAAAAAATAAAACACTGCGTATAAGACTAGATATAAATTATTAGCCTTGTGTTACAGAAACGTTCTCTCTCCCTCTCTTCTTTCTCTCTGTCTCTCTCTATTTCTAGGGCTTCAAATCAGTAGACTTTTAAAATTTCTGAATTAAAAAAATTTTCTTCAGTGAGCATGTTTTATATTAAACTGAAAACAAAATAACTTAAGGAAAGAAATGATCAATTGGATTTGAGAAAATCTAAACTCTCTTTGAAATTCCCCTTTCTTAGATGCCCAAAGGAAATGGAGAACATTTTAACCACAAATAATTCAGTTCATGTCTCCTTCCACACTTTTTATAGAAAATTTTTTCTCTGGTGACAGGAAGTGGAAAAACCCACAGCTTATGAGACATTGAGTTGTGGAATATGTGCAAATATTTAGTGAGAAATTCTAAACATTTGGGAATGTGCCAGAAATACATATTTAAGATCTCAACACCTCTGCGATATGTGTTTCCATAAGTCAGTGAGTGAACTGATCAAATGTGATAATGCTTGTGAAAGTGGCTTGTACTCCACTCCACAATGGGAAGAGATTATTGTTCATGTTTTCGCCTCTAATTTCTACCATTACAAAATAAGTTGAAGTAAACTATGCTTTCTTTTCTCTGATGGATTGAAGAATGGAAAGTAAGGAAATTGTTAGGGTTACCATGGTGTTGGATTGCAAATGCCTTTATGGCGGTCAGATGTAGAAACAAGGAACTGAAAGATTTAAAATCTCCTAAATGATACATAACAAGCAAACCACATCACTAAAGCTAAGGTGGAGAACTTCTGTCTTCTAACAAGTGAAACTATTCCATAGACTTCTTCCTGTGTGTGTCTATATGTCAGACTTTCATCTGGTTTTCCAACTGCAATCTCCAAATTGTTACATTCAGTTTAGTAAGCCAGCCCTGAGCAAGATGCCAGGCACCAGGAGAGGTACTGGCAATACAATGTTGAGAACATTTCAGTGAAGCTACTCTCAAGCTCAGAGGCTAATAAGAATAATAGATTGGTAAAACGGTAAGGACAATTACAGGGACAAAAGCCATAGCATGGTGGGACAGAGGAGAGATGAACTGTGATTGGTGACTGGGGAGCAGGGAGTGGATGTGCTCCCAATTTTAGATGACAAATGGATTGTTGTTAATAGACAAGTTGGGAGGCACCTGGGTGGCTCAGTCGGTTATGCATCTGACTCTTGATTTCAGCTCAGATTGCGATCTCACGCTATGGGAGATCGAGCCCCGTGTCCGGCTGCGTGCTGAGTGTGGGGCCTGCTTGGGATTCTCTCTCCCTCTCACTCTGCCCCTCTCCCACTTGCATGATCTCTCTCTCTTTCAAAATAAATAGTTTTATTTATAGTTATTAATAGTTCAAAATAGTTATTAATAGTTATTAATAGTTCAAAATAAATAGTTTCTCTTTCAAAATAAAAAAATAGACAGTTATGGGCATTCGAAGTATAATGAAATAGCACAGAAAGATAAAATAGCATGGCATATTCAAGGAATGACAAGGAAGTGATATATATTTTTGGAGTGTCAGTTGCAGATGGAGAATAGTTGATGAGCCTGAAGACAGATCTAAAGAGTTTTATGTATTAGCCTAAAGACTTTGTGTTTTTAAAAATAATATTTGAACAACAGTGTGGCAGGTGGATTGGATGAGAGTAACAGTAAGGTAGACATATCATTTGAAAGGCTATTGCAATAATCTAGATGAAGGGTTAAATCTACACAATTATCCCAAATCCTATAGACGTACATGAAGAATGGATCAGAAATTAGGGAAATTAAGAACATCAAGGATCCAGTTCAAGGAAGGAATAAGCAGGAGGGTTAGAGAAATTAAGAAAACCAGGAGATTTGGCAAAATAAAAGTGAAATTAAGCAGATATGATAATTAAAATTTGGAATAATGCTTAACATGAAAGGTAACAATAGATGCTCCAGGTGGCCTTGCCCATAGACCTTCACCCTCACCACACCAGTGACTTTGCTTCACTCAACTTTCAACTGACAGCACTTGCATTTTTTTTTTTTTTTAAACAGATCTCTTTTCTTTGAGCTCTTTGTCAGCTTGCCCAGTATCCTGAGTGGCTCACCACCTGCCCAGGAGTTAGGCTTCAACTTCACATGGACAGGAGTTGATGTATAAGCATCACGATTTATTTCCCACTGGGTGGGATAACACTGCTACTCTGAGTTCCTAACTGGAATAAGCTCCAGTTATTCAAGTGGCAACCTTTTCCATAACAAGGCTTTGTTGACTGCCTTTCTCTTCCTGTCCACTTTTCCACTTGCGCATGACTTTTTCCCAGAATCACCTCCTAAATGGGGAAGCCAAGCTAAGACAAAGCCCAGCCAAAGAAAGTATTTAAATAAAAAGCAACAGGTACACAAGTGCTACTGGTTTAATCATCAGGTTTCCATTCTGTTTGGGATGGACCCCAAATCACCTAAGACTTGAATTAGTTATCAGCGAGCTTAGGAATTGTAAAGTGCACTTGGTATTGCACCAGAAAAAAATGATAAAAGATACATGGAACCCTTGATTGTTGTCTATCAGTACTTCATGCAATCTTTCCACTTCTCGTTTTTAACTGATGATAAATTCTAAGAGGGTAGTAGGCCTCCAGTATTCATAGCAGTATTCAGAATTAATGATATCGAAATAGGAAGTGATAGATTACAAAATCATCCCTGAGTAGTTACTATTTTCTTCATTCTTTTTTTTCTAAATGTTTACTTATTTTTGAGACAGAGACAGACAGAGTGAGAGCAGGGGAGGGGCAGAGAGAGAGGGAGACACAGAATCGGAAGCAGGCTCCGCATTATCAGCACAGAGCCCAACGTGGGGCTTGAACTCACAAATCACGAGATCATGACCTGAGCCCAAGTCTGACGCTTAACTGACTGAGCCACCCAGGCGTCCCTATTTTCTTCATTCTTAAGGTCCACTGGCTTCTAGGAAGTTAAGGGTCTCTTTCAAATTTCTGTTTCTGGTGCCATATCCTCTTGCTCATCTACATCTATACAAGTTGTTGATGAAGTCATTTACACCTTTGTTACTCAAGAGTTTGTTCCGTGAACCTCAGCATCAATTACCCGGCAACTTGGTAAAATGCAGAATGTTACACCTCATCTCAGACCTACTGAATTAGAATCTGCGTTTTTGACAAGATTCCGATGTGATGTGTATGTACGTTGAAACTGAAGACCATTGCTTTAGATGGGATTAGTTGCTAAAGAATCTCAGGACAGCGTGGCAAGGTTGGTCTGAGGCTTGTGCCCTGGGGAAAGGGCCACATGACAAGTACTAGGATAATTTTCTCTTATGAAAAAGCAGAGAAAAGAAAACAGGTTCACTTAGGCTCATCACCTCAATCAGCCACTATTGGCCGTTTAGTTAATTTCTTTTATTTACATAATTTTTTGATATGGGTATAAGTCCTATCCCACATGAAGCAGGCTTCTTCCTTCTCTTTCTATTGTGTCATGAGAATTTCTGCACATTAATATCATAGTCATCATGTAAATATGCAGGCTGGTATATTAATTATAACTTACTTCATACTTTAAAAAATTTTTAAACTCTTATTTATTTATTTATTTATTTATTTTAATATGAAATTTATTATCAAATTGGTTTCCATACAATACCCCGTGCTCATCCCAACAGGTGTCCTCCAAAATTTTTAAACTTTTAAATGTTTTTTCTGACCCTTTCATGCATAGAGTTTTTCTGCATTTAAAGCTATTCCTTGCGTTGCATCCTCACAAATGCTAGTGTGGATGTGGGTTTTCTTTGTCTCCTGGAGCACTGTCTACACATTATCTCCAGTGACCTTTGGGTGTTAATACTACACTACTCATGCCTTTTATCCTTTGTATCCACATTCCATTTTCTCCTTTTGAAAGCCAACCACACCTCCTCCATGATAACTTTAGATCCATTTCCCCAACCTTGAGTCACTGGTTTTATTCTTAAATCTCCCATTTCAGTTCCTGTCCCTGAGTCACCTTCCTGTCATTAAAATTCGACTCAGAGTTCATGTTTCCACACAGACTGGCCAAGCTGATATGGGGCAGCCACGCTGACCATTCAATTTTAAATACAGGACACATAATTTTGAATTACTCTTCCCCAGACTTTAAGTGAAATAAGCTTCTTTTTAAAGTTTGACAAAAACATTTCCATCTGTCAGTTTTAATAGCTGATCAAGCCAAAGAAGACAGGGACTCTCTTGTGTTCATTTGGAAGAGTATGTTGTATTAAGTGTGTCCAAATAGGAAATGAAAACAAATAAATTTGCAAGGTAGGAAAACTGGAAATTCTGTACGTGACATGTGCTGTGTAATTTCAAAACCAGATGACAGCAAGAGCCACTCACTGCTTAGCACAGTGGTTCTTGCTTCAGTATACTTAAGAATAAGCTAGGGATCTTATGATCACAGGTTCCATCTGCCACCCCCCAGAGCTCATGACTTAGCAGGTCAAGAGTGGGGCCAGGCAACTGTGATTTTAATACACAAAGGGTTTTCTGATGTTGGTGGTCTGCGGGACTGCATTTTGGGAAGTACTAATTTGGCATTACTTTGGCACCACAGTGCCGAATATATCAGGTGAGAAACGATAAAGGATGAAAATAAGATACGCTGATTTCAGCACCGCAAATCTCTAGTTTCTTAATGTTTTCCACAATTCATAAAGCATAGAAAAAACAAAGTTAATAAAACAAGGGTGATCAGGAAAACGTGTCTGATTATTAAATCCTGGAATGCCATATTGACAAAGAGTAAGCAGTGACTTACATTTCCCTTCTTCATTCCTGCAGAGAACTTTCGTATCATCAGTGCTTTGTATAACTTCGAGAGATTCACCGGGCTTCACCTGTAGATCTCTGGTCCCCCACCTTTTAGAAGTTAAGGAGGGTGCAACTTTGGTTGAATATAAAACTCTAATTTCACCATCATACTGGAAAAATACAAACATTTATATTATTTATTGATTGATGTGTATTATTAAAGTAATCCATTTACTGACAGATTTATTAAGAAAGTCTTTGCTAGGGTGCCTGGGTGGCTCAGTTGTTTAAGCATCTGACTTTGTCTCAGGTCATGATCTCACGCATGGTTCGTGAGTTTGATCGTGCATCGGGTGAGCTGGAGCCCGGCCTTGGGTAAGCCCTGCTTCTCTCTCTCTCTCTCTCTCTCTCCCTCTCAAAAAAAAAAAAAAAAAA